CACCGCCACCGGGCGCTGCGGAAGGAACGAACATGGCGGACGGGCCGGGGGCGGGACCCGGCACCACGTGAGCACGGCCCCGCCCACCGGGCAGAGGCCACGCCCCGACGGGAAAGCGGAGCTGAGGGAAGGTGAGGGGATGGGAACAGCGGGAACAGGGGGGAAACAGCGGGAACAGGGCAAACAACGGGAACAGGGGGAAGCAATGGCAATAGGAACAACGTGAACAGGGGAAACAGCGGGAACAGGGGAAACAACGGGAACAGGGGGAAGCAATGGCAATAGGAACAACGTGAACAGGAAACAGGGGGAAACAGCGGTAACGGGAACAACGGGAACTATCGTGCCCACCGCCAGAACAGGGCCGGAAAGGCCCATCCAGGGCCATCTCTCATGGATCACTATCGTGCGCCGTCTGAGAACGGTAACACTGGAAAAGATAACACTTTCACATTGCTGTAGAATGCCCTGCATTATTAAGCTCGAAAATAAAGTATTTATAAAGTATTTGCCGGACAGTTATTTGTTAAAGGCAGTAGTGTCACTCTGCTCTACGCTAAGGGCCCCAGGTATGCAAGCCCAAAATTGTGAGGCAGCTTCACTTTACAAGTAGAAACATTTAAATCTGTGCATGTGTCAGTGAAGGAATTCAGCGAAATACAAAGCACACTATCTTAAAAAAGTAGGTAGGCACTTTCTGTTCCTGTAGTAATTCAGAATATCACCAACATGACTGTTTAAACAAGATCACAGGGAAAAAAGCTGAAGGAAACAGTGACAGGAGTATTTTCTGTGCTCTTACAACCTCCCCATGAGGGCAAAATATAATTAAAATGAAAAAACCCCAAGAAATTAAAGAGGTTCCTACAGCATCAGGAGGAATAGGTGATGACAAGCATAAGTACACCCATTTGCTCAAGCAGTCATCACATGCTTCTGATCATAAGGCAGATGCAATCAGACTGGAATTGCCACTTCTAGAGTTGTCTTGTTTTGGATCAGACATCAACACAGCCCAAGGAATGGAAAACAAGATCTCAGTATTATCAAAAGGAGATGGCTCCTACTGACAGCAACAGGGTTATTAAAAGGTAGGCTATGCTAGAGGCAAATCTTATGATACCAGACCCATTATTATCTAGCAAAGCTACACTTCGAACATTTTTAAATGCTTTTTTTCCTGGAATCTGCTTTCATCCAATTCTAAAATGAAATACAAGTGCTGTAGTGGTAGGAAAGTTGACTTTAAATTATGGTAATTCTAAGGTATATAAGTTATGATCAGTAATGGCATTATTTTATGATCGATAAAGAAGAAAAAGCTGCGTTTAGAAGTGGAGGAAATAATTACTCTGTTTTGCACTTAATACATCTTGGAGAGAAGCTACTATGTTTTTGTTTTGAAACAACACTGGATTTTGTTTTGAAACACATTGGATACATGTGAGGAAATTTAGAATTACAGGATGGTTTGGCTTGGAAGGGACCTTTAAACATCATCTAGTGCAATCACCCTGCAATGAGTAGGGACATCTTCAACCAGATCAGATTGCTCAGAGCCCTGCCACCATCAGTTTTGGCAACCTGTTACAAGGTTTCATCACCCTTGTATGAAAACTAATTGCTAGCCTGAATACAGGCAGTCTGTCCAGTCTGGATCTATGCTCCTTTCTCATTCTACTGGAACAGGCTCTGCTAAAAAGTCTGTCCCCATATTTCATATAAGCCCCTTTTTAGGTCCTGGAAGGCTTCAGTGAGTCTTCTCCAGGCTGAACCACCCTAGCTGTCTAATTTTTTCCCTATAGAAGAGGTACTCCAGCTCTCTGATCATCTTGGTGGCCTCCTCTGGACCTGCTCCAACAGGTCCATGTACTTCCTGTGCTGGAAACCCCAGAGGGATGGATGCAGGACTGCAGGTGGAGTTTCATGAGCGCAAAGTACAAGAGCAGAACCACGTCCCTCAACCTGCTGCCCACGCTGGTTTTAATTCTTTCTGGGCTGCAAGTTCACATTGCCAGCTCATGTCCAGCCTCTCATCCATCAGCAGCCCCAAGTCCTCCTCCTCAGGGCTGTTCTCAATCCATTCAGCTCCCAGCCTGTATTGACACCAGGGGTTGCCCTGACCCAGGTACACCATCTTGTACTTGGCCTCATTAATTCTCATGAGGATCCACTTGAACACTGTTCTTCAGCTTCCTTAGATACCTCATTTTTTCAAGTTCTTTTTAGAAACAAAATTATTGAACTTCTCAGATAAGATGTATTTTTATTTCCTTTACATGGGAACATATAAGAAAATACAAAAGAATCCATGGTATTAACCATGGCTACTAGGCTTATGATTTTATAGGCATAACAGAGCATCATAGGGTTAGGGTTAGGGTTAGGGTTAGGGTTAGGGTTAGGGTTAGGGTTAGGGTTAGGGTTAGGGTTAGGGTTAGGGTTAGGGTTAGGGTTAGGTTTAATACACATGCATGAGTGCTTGAGGATCAGGAACTGAAGGCCCTTTTCCCTGTGTCCACTCCATTACATACCATGTATGTAACAAACCCAGCAGCTGCTACAGAACACCACAAACTGTAGAACAAATAATGCCTCGATAAGGCTGGTCACATGAAGCACACCTGCCCATTCTGAGGTCAGACAGAAGAACATGCCCATCTAGGAAGCAGTTTGAAACAAGTGCACAAAAATCACTCCTGTTTAAATTCTGCAGACAAGCAAGGTCCCAATGGTGGCTGCTATAGGGCTGTCCCCGTCCAAGGCCCTGTTTGACCATCCCAGTTTGGGGAGCAGGGCTGGGGCAGTGCTGGTGGGGGCAGCTGCTTCAGATTCCCATGGTCAGCAAGAGCCCATTTTGGCTCAGACACTGTACAAGCCTGTTCCTGCACCCCACCTTGTGTACCAGTCTCCATCACACAGCACGTCCCCACACCTGCCCAGTTCTCACTGGAGTTTTGGCAGATTATTGTCCAGACCTGCCTTGCTCTCGTTTGGGTGCTGTCGGACAGTGACCCTTTTAACTGAAGCCACTGTCACCCAGCATCCACCCCCGGCTTGCCTCCCTCTGTGCAGCAACCCAGCCTTGCTGCACCCTCACATGCACATTTTCATCAGAAAGCTGACTCTGCACCTTAAGGATTTTGTTCACAAAGGTGAATTCATGAAGTGTTGTTATGCCATGTCAGAGAGAATAGCACAAAAAACATCCAATGGCAAATAAAGGGCAATTTTTTCGTGTGAGTAGAGGGAAATTCTGTATCAGCAAAGTTCTCTTATAATAAGAGCTTGTGAATAATACTTTTTACCATCTATAGCTGGCAAGTAGACTATGTCCCATCCTGGCAAGAGATGACATAGTCTCAGTAAAACATGACTTTGTCACCTCTTGGCTGAATTACAGCAGTACAAAATAAGGGGATATGAAGTCATCTGCCTTTATAGCTCTGTTAATACCCGAATGCAGCAAGCCAGCTCCTGAGCAATCCAAGAAATTATCAAAGTGCTCTTGTTTCTTCCCTTATCTTCCAGGCAGTCAGTGAATTGGACCATTACACCCTGCAGATTCCCTGAAGGACTGTAATTCAACATATTTGCTCCTTAACCACAGTCTGTTACCAGCTAACTTTCCTCCTTGGCACAATAAAAGGGCTGTTTTTTTGTTTAAAGAGTTGCAGTTCTTTGCTTTAGTAGCAATTGTAGATAGCACAGCAGACGGACACTTTAAATGATAAATAAACAGTGCTAATTTCCTTTTCATTTTGAAAAGAAGAAAGAGTTATAAACAACAATTGACAGCTGAGTACCTCCCTAAAAAGTGCACAGTAAGAGGGATATGACAAAGATGGAAAAGGCACTTGACAGAACAGATGGAAGTGGATCTGGCAGGGGATCTCTAGGAACCAGAAGGAGTTTTGTTACTGGTGTTAAGGGAGCAACATTGACTACAGTTAATAGAGCACTTCAGATATGGAATAGTATATTTGTTTTTACATAGAAAATTGTGTGAAGTTAAGTCAGCTCTCATCTTCATGACATATATATCACAAGTTCTGCAGCTACAGGCTGCTTGATCTTTGAGGGCAATTTATGTTTAAGATCTTATTGCTGCTGTTAAATCACAGTATTCAAGGAGAAATTTACAGCATTTCTGGAAAACCCCATGGAGACAAACACAGACTTTAGCCTTGTTCAGCATGTTTGTTCTATGTTTGTGGGGATCACCACTAATGACATACTCCTTGTAGGAGTAGCAGCATGGACATGGTAAACATCATACCCAAATGAACTGTCTCTGCTTAAAATAGTTCAGAGATCTTTTTCTCACCTGGAATGAATTGAATAAAAAATACTTCAACAATATCAAAGAATCTCACTTTTCAAAGTTTTCTTTTGTTTCTGGACTCTACTCCCTGTACTCCAGTGATCTACACCCTCCTGCTGCTGTACACACTATGTAGTTGCAAGTTGGCTTTTTAAAGAGATTTTGAGACAAGGCATATATTCTTAGCCAGTCAAATATTTTAAGCCTGCAGTTACACATTTAGTGATGGGCAGTTCAAAAGAAAATGATGTTACATATTACATCACAAATACAGTCAGTGTTACAGATACAAATTTTACCCTTGAAATATATTCTGTCCATATATATTCCATGCCTTGTAGTATTTCACTTTGCCAAGATAAAACTTGGATGAGGTCTGCATTACTGGAATGGCTTCAAAACCAACTTCAGGCAGAAATTATTTATAAGTTGTTCACAGCTAAAATAAAGTCTTCTGCTGCATGGTGTTCTGACACAGCAGAATGCTGGCATAAAGTTCTCCTCAACAGGACCATGACCTTCAAAATGACTGCACACAACCCTGTGCTTGCTGTGATCCACTAACACAGGAGTGTTTGCTCTCCTGAAGTTTCACTGAAAGCTAACAATAATACTTTACACAAAAATACTGCCACGTAAGCAGGACTACTTGTAAGTATCCATTCCAGCACACAAGTAAGGGCCGGGGAGGAAGACCAGATAGCAACTCCTTGGTTACAGAGTTGAACACTGAGGGTCTGGCCTAAAGCTTTAATGTGTATTTTACATCAGTGCAATTCCCCTAAAACACACATTTTTACATGATAAAAATGTAAGTAATGCTGTTGAAAGGTGATAAAAATGTAAGTAATGCTGTTGAAAGGTTAATTGTTAACCCTTCATTGAATGGAAAGATTTCTCCTCTTTTTTTTTTTCCCCAGTAGAATATTTTAAGTGTCTCTTTGCAATTTCAGGTTACACATAATATTCCCCATATATAGATAAAAGCTTGTCTTTCAGTCCTGGCTGACATTTAGTTCACCTACACCTATTTTCTCATCTCATGCCCTCAACTCCTTTCTCTGAGAGGTCATGCAGCTCAGCCCAGAGGAACTGACCAGCCTCAGCTGTGTCTCAGTCAGGTGGGTGCAAAACGGTCCTCAATTCCTCCAGCCAATACCCGCAGGTTTCTCTGCTCTGCTGATACATTTTAACCTTGAAGTGCTAAATGACTGTTGTACATTTGTAAAAGATACAGGTCTCTTACTTTTACAGCTCCCTTAGTGGGAATTTTTTTTTTTTTTTTTAAATAAATACTTCTGGTAAACAATCAGTGAAAATCCTGTTGACTCCGGAACAAAAATATGGATAAAAACTTCTGCCATTGGATTTCCTTCTATTCATTATTTGTGGGTAATGTGCACTATATAAAAATATTAATTTTCTCAGTTCAGGACAGATGTCCTAGCTCCAGAGAGGATATCCACTCAAGAAAGTTATTCACTCCTATTAATTTTATTTATTACATGTAAGATTCATTCAAGCCATCTTTAAAAATACATTAGCAGTTTTCTGATTTTGCAGTTTTTAGTGGCAGCACTCACATAGTATCAGCACAGAATTTAAAATTCCAGTTTCAACAGAGGTACGTTCTCATACATGTTTCCAAGCCCCTTATGAAAGAAGGGTAGCATTACAAACATATCCATCTGCTGTGATACCACTGTTCCCCACATTCATTACAAATAACGTAAGTCAACATTTGTTCATCTGGATTTGCGTTTCGCACCCAAGCTGGAAGAAAGAGAGTTCCTCTGGCAATCATAGTGACAGTGCAATCAAATTTTTCACAGCGTCTGCACTTTACTTTGTTTGTCTGTGTGCCATTAATAACCTGCGGAAGCTGATGTTCCTGAACAGATGATTTTGTGTACACAGCCCTGAGCTGTTTCAGTTCATCACTGGCCATTTCCATCACTGTCATCTCAGCAAAAGCCTTTGGGCTCAAAGTTCCTGAAAAAAGGTTATGTTTTAGGTGGCAATTTTTAGGGTTCTTAAGGTTTGAGATTTTACTTCTGATGCAATTTTTGTACTTTTTATCATTTTTAGCATAAAGAGTAAAAATACGTTCTTCAATTTCTTTAGCTAACTCTAGCCATTTTGCAGTTTCTTCTTCATCTTTGCCAGAACCAATCAAAGCTTTATGAAGAAGATCTACACATTTACACCTCAGAGCTCTCATCAGATCCTGCTGCAGACTTGCTTCGCAAACAACAGATTTAGAATCTTCATGAACTGTGTGTTGCTCCTCAAAAGAAGAATGCTGATTCATACTGCTTTGTGCATTATTACATACCATATTTTTAACAGTTTGTGATGGGACCAAAATGTTGGAACTAGTACCATCTAATGCCTCCTGCTGACATGGTCCTTCAGACAGTGACTGCTCTCTAGGAACTACACTGAGATGCTCAATTTCTTCTTTCACATCCACAGGATCTGACTTTTTAACTTGCATTGACTGAGCACAGTTATTCTTGTAAAGTGCTTTCCACCTTGACAATAACTGCTTTGCTTTCTTTTTCAACTCGCCAGAAGGGCAACTCTTAAGCACTCTATATACAGCCTTGGTAACTTCTGTCCCCTGAAGATATTCTACAGTCATATCAACATCTTCAAGTTCTTTAAGATGATCCTCAATATCTTGCAAATTGTTCTCAGACAGCAGTTTTTCAATACAACGGGTTCTGTGTACAATATTTTTTGGATCAGACATTTTTAAACCTGGAAACAAAAAAAAAAGATCATCACCTTTCCTTCAGTTATGACATTAATTTATCTTCTGTATATTCACAAAAGGTTTTATTTTAATTTTATGCTATTTTACACTATTTTATTTGTATATATCACTGGGTTTCCCACCATTTTCTTGAAATAGTGTACAGAAGTCAAAAACACCATTCTGGTTCCTACGTGACTGTCAACTTTTCACTTGCTATACAAGATATCATGCTACATCTCTTTCAAAAGTTCCTCCTTATAGCTATCGGAGAAGCAAATCAAGTCATGACTTTTACCTAAGGTCCCACTGCTGCCCCCTCCCTCACTAGCTCTTGTACCATATTACAGATGAATTATCAAGATGGAACAGCTCAAAAACAGTGACACCTGCAAAACAGTCCCAAAATGCTGACATCTACTAATTTTGAAAATTCTTAAAGCTTAAAGACATATCCCTCTATATTTTCTTGCAGCTGTAGCATTATTAAAGCATCCCATATATTCTGAGGCATAAAGGAAAATCAAAGGGGGCCTTCAGAATGCAGAATCTCATGGTTTCAATAGTATTTCCTTTTGATTTCTTTTCATCAAGCCCTTTGATCAAAAAATTTTCAGTGCACTGCTATTGCAAGTTTGCATGCAAAAAAAATTTTATATTCCTAACATTATTATTCTTGCTGAAAAGAAGAAATGTAGAATGCAGAAATGAATGGTGTGTTTTAAGTGTTGTGTTCTTTTTTTCTGCAGTCAGCCTTCTAAGTTCATGCATGAAATCAGTGTTTTGTCTGAAATCGCATCCATCGTGACTCTACTCCAGAAAAAACATCTGCCTGACAGAGACAAGGCTTGCTACACACATCCGTATGGGAAGGCGCTCATAAGCCTGTTTCTTGCAGCATCATTGTTTCCATGATGAAAACTCCTGAGAACAGGAGCAGGGAAGGGACAAGAGACACAGCTTGGTTATTTGCACACTCTGTTGTTTCTATGACCACCAGCAGCTAACTTGTCTTTTGCCTGACAGAAACAAATTCAAACTTTAGGTAGGACCTCAGAGCTCCACAAAAGAAAAGGACAAAGGGGATAAGACTTCACTTTTTTTCTGCAGAAACAGAACCAACCCATCATCCACAGGAAATGTTCTCAGCATTCTCTTAAGATGTATTTAAACACTCTTGTCTTATGTTTTGAAGTCCCACAAAACCTCAATAATGGCGATTACAGAAACTGATTTACTATGCACGAAGTTTCAAACTCAGAGAAACAGGATGCAGTTTTCACATATTTAAGTCCTCTGCATCATCAAACTAACAAGAACATGTGAGTGAATCAGCTCCTCTGTTCTGCTACAGGAACACAGAGGCTGTGAACAGAAAGGAGAGCTTTGTCATGTAGGAGATCCCTCACAAAGCAAGAACAATTCCTTGTCTCCAGAATACCAAGAAGTTGACATTAGAAAATTATTATCTGCTGATTTACTGTTTCCCATCCAATCCAGGGAAGAGTTGGTGACAGTAATATGTTAACCCAGTATGAATCCCCTATACATTAGAAACAGTTCTGCTTCTTCCAGCATACTCCACATTTTCTTAAGATCTTGTGTCTATCTATGTATATGTTGCATTATGCTTACACACCACAAAATAGACTATCTAAATGCAAGATTAAACAATAAATTCTCTCTCTCTCTCTCTATATATATATATATATATAAAATATATAGGACTATGAGCACATGAAGAAATTATCACACACAAACTTTGCTGATAATTTGTCATTGCATATATTTCTACCCTGTGGCAAAGCTGAGATATTTGGATCTTTCATTGAGGACTATGTGTCATAGAAGGCTTCCTCTACAATATTGCAGGGTGATCTGTAAGAAATCTGTATGCAAGATCCATATGCAGAGTCTGTGGCTATCATCTATTTCATGGTAGTGGTCCTTACTCATCATTATCAACCTGACCCTACACAGCCCCCAAACATGGCAAAGCTCTACTTTAGGACTCTTACACTATGGCAATAAATTAGTTATTAGAAATTTAAAACTTTCTTACTCCTGCACTGACTTTTTCAAATTCACACAACAGTAAATTCAAGTTTGTAAATGTTTTGGCAGCAGTTAAATAAACAAACTGAAATCATAATATGGACACCAAATTATAAACAATTATTTTAAAATAATTTTGGAAATTAAACTACCTAATAGACTACTAATATTTAAGTCAAAAAAATCACTTCTAAGGAAATGCTTTTCTCAAAATGTACGAATTATAGCAAAGAGGTAGGATGGAGTGACTCCCTTCAAATGCAATAAGCAAAGTTAGGTAAAAGTAACAGAAAAAGTAATTAAATATTTTAATGGAGATGGATATTCATTGGTAATTGGGAGAAACATAAGAAACAGCAGAAAAAAACACTGAATAAAGGTAATAATCAGTGACATAAGAGAGGTCTCTGCAGGGAAAATGTTCTTGAAATGGTCCTGGCTTTATTGTGTGTACCTAGCTTGCAGAAAATTATAAAAACCTTCAAGGTGAAAGGCAATATATACTTTTGAAATATTACACTAACTACTCAAGCATAAATTTAATTTTGGTTTCCAAATTAAAAGGAAGTGTGCTGAAAACCACACACAAAAAAAGTTGTTTGTACATTTGTTTCCCTATAAATCAAATAAGGACCAGATTTATCACCAATGTTGACACTGATGCCACTGGTTTACACAAAGAGAAATTGAATAAAGATTCCTAAACTTATAAGGAACATATAAAGTAATCCAATTTCCAAAGTTTCTTTCAAAGAATGAAGCAAAGCTCATTAATACTGGGGAACATACATTGTATTTCATATTAAGTCAATGCCAAGCACCTTTTCTCCTTTCCTAATCAAGGCACAACATTATTATGTCAGACAACTGTAAAAAACACGTTTCACATTCTTATAGGGAGAAATTTGAAATTACTGATGCAGTGGTAATACTGCAGTCAATTTTCTAGTCAAAGTTCACTGGGAACCCAAGTATAGCAAACCTGAGTTCTTCCCTGCTCAGACTGCTGTTCTTTGAACTCTGACGTTTCTGTCATAAATCAGATAGAACAGCAAGTTGGGAGAAGCCCCAAAAACTTTTGAAGAGAATGCAAGTATGTCACAGAAATCATGCTGCAATTCCAAATGGAAAATTATTCTACCACTTGAGGGAGCTGTGGCATAGCAAACCCGTGGAATCTTTTGAAATATGCATGAGAAACTCTAGCCTTCGAAGAAAAAAGATAAAACAATTACTCGATGAACTTAAGGAGACTTCACATTTTTAAGGTACATATTTGCCTAATTTTGGCAAAAAAACTGTGCAGAGTCCATAGATGCTGGGATACAGACAGGAGGAAAAGAGTATATCCCTTATCCAGTACACTGCACTTTGATATTTTTTTTTAATTTGGAATTTGACTGCTTTTCTACCTGATTTAATGCAATTTGACAAATGCTGCTGAGCAAATATTTATAAAATTAACTGAATCGAACTCCGTCAGCACTGTTCTGCTGTGTTGTTAATTCTAAGAGACAAGAAACCTGAGAAAGACTTGGTTTTTTTCTTAAGTTATAAAACGAATCATGCATCTTTGGTAAGGTAGAGATAAAAGAAAATGAACGAACAAATGATAGTGTCACAATTTTGTGACCCTCCCACAACTGCACAGGGCATTTCAGTTTAGCAATGACAGAATCACAAAATGGTTAGGGCTGGAAGGGAGCTTAAAGAACACCTAGTTCCAACCCCTCTGCAACAGGCAGGGAAGCCATTTACTAGACCAGGTTTCTCAGGTGCCACCACCCTCTGGGTAAAGAATTTCTTCCTAACATCTAATATAATTTATATATAATCTAATATAAATCTGCCCTCTTTCAATTTAAGCCCATTGACATTTGGTCTGCCACTATCTGCCCATACAGAAAGTCCCTTTCCCTCCTTATTATAAGCACCTTAAAGTACTAGAAGGCCACAGTAAGGCCTCCCCAAAGCCTTCTCTTCTCCAGGCTGACCAACTCCAGCTCTCTCAGCTTCTCTTCATGGGAGAGGTGCTTCAGCTCTCTGACCATCTTTGTGGTCCTTCTTTGGACCTGCTCTAACAAGTCAGTGTTTTTGTGGTGCTGAGGACCCCAGAGCTGGATGAAGCACTCCTGGGGGGTCTCACGAGGGCAAAGTAGGGTGGGAGAATCCCCTCCCTCAACCTGCTGGCTACGCTGCTTTTGATGCAGCCCAGGGTACCATGGGCCTTCTGGGGCACAAGTGCACACTTTTGGCTCATATCCAGCTTTTCATCCACAGGAACTCCCAAGTCCTTCTCTGCAGGGCTGCTCTCAGTGACTTCTTCTCACAGTCCTGTATTCAAGTCTGGTTTGCCCTGACCCGGGTGCAGCACCTTGCACTGGGACTTGTTGAACCTCATGAGGTGCTCGTGGTGCCCACTCCTCAAGTTTGTTCAGGGCCCCCTGGATGGCATCCTGACCTGCTGTTGTGCTATCTGCACACTTGCTGAGGGTGCACTGATCCCACTGCCCATGTCACTGATGAAGATTAAAGTCCCATGAGAGTCCTGAGGGACACCACTCATCACCAGCGTCTACCTGGTCATAGAGCCACTGACCACAACTCTCTGTGTCCATCCAGCAAACTCCTTATCCACTGAATATGAATGAGTCCATCCATCAAATTCATATCTCTGCAATCTGGAGATAAGAATGTCATGTGGGATTATAATAAAAGCCTTACAGAAGTCTAGATAGATGACACTGGTCAGTCTTCCCTTATCAACCCTTGCTGTCACTCCATCATAGAATGCCACCAGATTTGTCATGCGTGACTTGCCATTAGTAAAGCCATGCTGGCTACCTTGAATTACCTTCCTGTCTTTTATGTGCCTTAGCACATCTTCTAGGAGGCTCTTCCTAGGTACAGAGAAGAGCTTCACTGGTTTGTAGTTCCCTGAATCTGTTCCCTGGATCTTCCTTTCTCCTCTTTTTAAAAATGGAAGTGACGTTTCCCTTCTTCCAGTCACCAGGGACTTCACCTGACTGCCATGACTTTCCAAATCTGTTTGAATTCCAAGCATACACTGAAGGTTACAAGGCTTGTATTTGCAATGAGACTCTGTAATGCTGTGCTGATGAGGCACTTTCTTGCCAAATCATTACTGCATGGTATAATGAGTCACTTGTCTGTACAAGAATAAATGATGATGATCAATAAAAACCTTGTAAGCCAGTTTCTTCTAAAAAAACCCCAAACATCAGGCTACCTCAGGTTTAAAATACGGCCATCTTGTAATAATGCCAAGTTAAATCAGAACATTTTTAAACAGTAAAATGACTAAGTAAGAGAAAAAAACAACAAACAAAACAAAACAAAAACAACCAAAAAAGCACCCAGCTGTTAAGAGCAAATTAAGTCCCCAGGAAAAACAGTCCTCTCCAAAGCATTTGGGAAAAATGCTTTGCCTTTGCTTTATACCTAATCTTATACAAATCCATAGTACATTTTGTCTTAACCCTGAAAAAACAAGACAAACTCAGAATGCATCCAAGCAAGTGCATATGAATGTCTTGGAAGAATGAATACCTGCCTTCCTCTTCCTCATCACAACCTCCATTGTAGGTGAGCTTTTCTTCAAGAAATTCTATGTAATTGGAAAAATATCCAGACTACAGCCCAGACAAGGATCAGAAGTCAAGCACTCCTACACACAACAGTGTGTGCTGGTTTCAGTTGGGGTAGAGCTAATTTCCTTCACAATGGGTAGTATGGGGCTGTGTTCCGGGTTTGTGCTGGACACAGGCTGATGACATAGAGAGGTTTTTGTTATTGCTGAGCAGGGTTTACACAGAGCCAAGGCCTTTTCTGCATTTCTTACTGCCACACTGGTGACGAAGTTGTGGGTGCATGGGAGACTGGGAAGAGACAATCAGGACAGGTGAGCCCAACTGACCAAAGGGATGTTCCAGACCATCTGACTTCATGCTCAGGATATAAAGTGGGGGGAAGAAGAAGGAAGGGGAGGACATTTGGAGTGATGGAGTTTGTCTTCCCAAGTCACTGTTACATGTGGTGGGGCCCTCTTCTCCTGGAGATGGCTGAACATCTGCCTGCCCATAGGACGCAGTGAATGAATTCCTGGGTTTGCTTTGCTTATGTGTGCAGATTTTACTTTTCCTATTAAACTGTGTTTATCTCAACCCGTGAATTTTTTGGTTTTTATCCTTCTGATTGTCTTCCCAATCCCACTGGTGGGGCCATGAGTGAGAGGCTCCCTGAGGCTTGGCTGCTAACTGGGGCTAAACCATGTCATAGTGGAATAAATGTTCTGCAAACATGTTAAAAAACATCAATGTTATAGCAGAGAAGGTGCATAGCATAGTCCTGGGAACACCAGCTTACTCTGGGCAACTTAAATCCCATATAAACAATGAAAATTATCAAATACTATTTTACATTCAAAAGCCTAAGCAGAAATCAGAGAATTCTCACAGCCAGCCTCCAACCCCAAAAACATTTCTTCATCCTATATACAGAGGGAGAGCAAATATCAATGATGTCACAAGAAACCATTTACTGGAGCTTTTATTTCATCTCTGCAAAAATCAGAGCTCTTCCTGCCTCTCCACACCTAAAAAATTCAGAACTAGACAGAAGTTCATCTTCAAAGAATAGCCACATGAATAAAGCTACGTGAATACAATGAGAACTGAGGCAATACAACAGAGTTATTTCCAGCTGTCCATGACCACTGACACCTCACTGACCAAGAGTAACCTCTCACAGATCCAGAAGCACTGGAGTACACAGTACTAATGTGGAGAAGTAGCTTTGTTCTGTATCTTTTACATCAGCAACTGCTTGAACCACAATACCCTTGCCTAATCTGGAGCTATATTGTCTCAACACTGCATTTCCCTCAGTGAAATTCCCAACAGCTTTCTTCCCAAATTAGCACATCTGAAGAGGAGAGATGGTAGAGTGTATCACATTCATGTGAAGATGCACAGAGTATCCTCCTTCACAAGGTCAATTTTTAATCCTTATTTGGAGTTGCCTCTTCTGGGTGTCCTCCCCCCTTTTTAATTAAAAATTGAATTTTTATATTCTTTAAAAAAAAAAAAGATAAAACAATCAATAGAGCACATAATGAAATTCTCAAGCCTCAGGGATCAACCCCAATGCAGAGCTGTCAGCATATTTTTCTAATAAGATCAAACATGCGTGGATTTAATGAGATAGGAAAAGCTGTTGTCCTTACCAGACTGCTTAGACACTGGCTTCATTTGACATCAGTATGTAACCCAGAGCTCACAGAAAGGTTCAATATATTACAGCTACACCAGATGAATTAAACCCCGACTTGTTCCACGGCAAAAACTAAATGAGAAAATCCTTTACAAATTGAACAGCTACATCTGTTTCAAGTTCCAGGATGCTCCACTGATGTTAGAGAGGATGCACATCCCAGAAGAGACATTACCTTGTAAATAGCTCCTTTTAATAACTTAATTTACAGTTAAACTGATTCACACTGGAAGATATTTTAGCTTTTCCCATATCCCATCTTCCCTAAGCATGTAAATTTTTCTACTGAATGAAGTAGTTAACTACTTGAAACACTGAAAATGTTACAAGTAATGCATTATTCCACTGATATAAAATCTTTGTTTTTATTGATATTGTTGACCTTGTTAATAAAATAAAATTTTAAGGAGTTAAAAAAAAATTACTTTTAACAAGTTACTGATTACAAGTGTCAAGTAGATGTATTAGCTAATCTCTTCCACAACTGGACAGATATATAGATTCACAATATATTCTATTACATTATGATTCAGGGGGCAATAATAAAATGTATATATAGTTCTGAGAGATTTTTCATCAACAGTTTTATTGGTAATTATGTATAAATAAAGTGGGTATCTATTTGCTTTAAAATTTGTACCACTTCACAAAAAGAAACATTTGCCTCGTTTTTCTTAGGTACAACCAGATTATTTTTTATTCTAAAATCCATTTCCTAGTTTGGGCACAAGGTCACAGAAATGTTGCATGGAGCTCTCTGGATTTTCAAATTTTCATGATAAAGCCTTGTCAAAGCTGGCAGAGGAATCCCTTTTCTCTCAGTGACTTCACATTATTTGTCAGTATGAGGTACTAGCTGGGGCTTCAAGCAGGTCAAAAGTCAGGCTTTTGACACACAGGGAACATTTTCTGAACATGAACTCCCATTTTGGCCTCAAGTGACAATACACAGGAAAATAAGTGTGTTGAGTGGAACTTAAGCAGATGACTCAGACATGACTTAATACTACCTAGCTATAGTAGAGACACAGAGTGTTACATGCATTTTGCACTAATTAAGCTGAGCTGCTACAGTAAAGTTTATCATGAGATTCAGGCTTTTGGTGCAGCTGCACACGGTTTTTCACAAACCATACAATAATTTTTGTGATTATATATTAACAGCAAGCTAAAGAGTACAGCTTATCATCAGCATAAAAAATCTAAGCTTATTAGAAATACATCTGGTATTTTCCCAATATGTCCCTATCATGAAGAGCAAAACTTAAACTGAGCCAAGCAGAAAATGCTAGTATCAATCCTTTAACATCACCTGCCTCAGTATTGAGCCAAAACTTCCCTGTGTGAAAAAGAGTTTTTTGCACTTTGTGAAATTACTGCTTCTAACATTCATATTTTTCCAACAGTAGCAGATTTCAGGAAAAAAAAATAAAAAAATTGTTGTTAAATCTGACAGACAATATGAACAGTGTTTCACTATTTTCCACAAGGAATAGGATATAACAAACATTCTTCCTCTATTATAAATATTCTTTCCTCAAGAAACATACCTGGCAAGAGAAATATGATCTAAGCGGATTGGTGTCATCATTTATTAAATAACTGCTTTTATGCAATATAGTTTAGTCTCCTAACTATTCATCTGGATGAATGCAAATGTTCATATTCAAATTTCCAATCACTTCAGACAGCAAACCAGCTAAAAAAAGTTCAGGAAGACTGTGACATCTCCAAGTAGAAGCCAGTTTCTTCAACATACTTTTACTGTATTGCCTTATACAGGTAACAGTTACAGTACATTAAATGTGTCAGCGCTCTTTCAACACCACTGGGATTGTATCACTCAGCTGCTCTGCTCCCTCTACTCAATGTCTGTGCACAAGAAGTATTCGTAACATTGTCCTCTATCAAAAGACTGGGAAATCATAATTCAAAATTCCCAGAACATTGAGATTGGTTTATACACTATAATATTCTCAGCAGTAAAAAAATAGGAACTCTTCTGAATTTCTTTTAAAAATGTGAGCCTCAAGTCTTCCCATCCTTCTACTGCAGACAAAATGATTAGGAGCTTATACCTTTTCAAAAAGGAAAGGTTACAGTATTATGCAAAACAAGGCTCCAGTAGCCAGTACTTGGAAAAAAGAAATAAATCAGGCTTTTACATATTCTATTATAACTACAAAAGACTGAAAATTCTTTTCTTGTTTACCTATAAAGATGTTACCTTTTATGTTCCTTCTTGGCTTTACAGCTTTCCTCCACTATTTTGTAATATCGTCTTAAATTTCTTGTTCATCTACCCAACGAGAATTAGCACTTTTTAAACCTACAGAAAAGAAGAAAATTTTGTGAGCTGCAGGTTAAACACTGGCTTTTAAGTGAGAGATATCATCAAGCTTCCTTACATGTCCATCTATTTTTCAGTCTCCATAAACACTGTTTATAGTCTCCTGCAGATGTGCCTTTTTGAAATCTGGATAACCTCAATCTAAACAACAGTTGCCTGAGGTGGATCACACCTCCTTCTTTCACTGAGCTCTGCATTGACACAGAACTCCAACAGAACAGACTGTCTTGAAGTCAGAAGCCTAAATCAGTAAGTAAAAATGTACTTAAGACATATCCATGCAAAGTACATTTGTTTACTTAACACTTTAGAAAGAAAATACTAATAATTTTGGAGAGAAATAAACAATTCTTTCTCTTGGAACACATTTCCTTGACAAAACAGCTTTAAGGATTATTCTTGTTCATATACAAGGAATTAAATTCTAGCACGCTACAAGGAAAGGTAAATGTTTAGTTTGCAGTGTCTTTTTATGGAAAATTGTGCTGACAAATTCATATAAAAATGAAGCATGTAAGTAATAAAAACATGCTTTATGAACTTCTGCAAGCTTTTCATCATTTGTCAGATGAACACTGTCTTTTCATTGCTTTGACATTCATTTTTTTAGTTTAGTCTTGGCTCTATACTATTTTTATTTGTCATTCCATTGCCAGGGCCATACCTAGATTATATATCACTTTGTTGTTGTTTTACAGGTTTTCCATTGAAAAATTATAAAACTCTTTTCCTTTTAAAATAAATCCTTTGTATGCAGGAGAGTACATATGGTCCTGAAAAGGCCATCCATCCTGAATGGATAAAGAGTATGACTTAAATGATATTTGTAAAATAGTATTTAGTGTCTGCTGACATTCCTTATGCTAAAATATGAAGAAGTGAAAGTACATAATTTCTTAATACTTTAAAGCCTTGATAAATGACCCATGATGTACTGGTTCAAGCAAGGGGTGAAATACACTTGAAATTAAATGGATTTTTATATACTTAACTATTAAAATAATACTACACTTAAAAGCATGAACTCTAACTTCTTTCTATATTTATGCCAGCACGTCTTATTTCAAGACATCAATGCTGCCTGGAAACCAACATAACAAATACATAAAGAATTCCAGTAATAGCACCATTACAGATAACCAACCATCCTGCAGCTTCCAAGGACAGCCTGTTCTGTGAGTGGAATTAGAGCCACTTTCAGTATAAATCAGAAGTGCAGTTACGGCAGCGGGGAGCAGCAGCCCAGCTGTCTGTATCTGGAAGTAGCTGACATTCACTTGGTGTCGAAGCCAGCCACAGGTGACAGCCTGTCCTGGCCGACGTTTGGGGTCAGGCTCATGCCACCAGCAGCTGAGCATCACCACTGGAACCTCCATCTCACTCACCAGCCACGAAACCTGAGGGAGATCAGCCTGCAAACCTGCCTGTGTTCACTCCCCAGGAAATGGCTGGGCCAGCACACACTAATCCAGAATGCCACTGGAACGATAACTCTGCAGGTTCTTCTCCAAATTCTTCATTAAAACTACACAAAATCACAGAATTAATTAGATTGGAAAAGATCTCTGAGATCATCAAGTCCAACCTATGCCTGACTACCACCTGTTAACCAGACCATGGCACATCCTCAAACACCTGAAGGGACGGTGACTCCACCACCTCCCTGGGCAGTCCATTCAAGCATCGAATCACCCTGTCGGTGAAGAAATTCTTCCTAATGTCCAACCTAAACCTCCCCTGGCTCTTCACAGGCGTTCCTGCTGCACATCCCCGGGCCCGTCCAGTTTAATTCTGACGCACTGCTGTCTTGCTCAGGGGCGAAATGCCGCCCCGCACAGCCGGGGCAGGAGGAAAAGCAAGCACGGCCCTACCTACCAAACCCCCGCTTCTCAGGGGGAGAACGCGGTTCCCCGTTCCCCTCGGTCCCGAGGGCCAGCCGGGGCGTGCATCGCAATGAACGAAGGGCAAACAAGGGCTGGGAGCAGCTGGGCGGTTCGTGCCTCCTGCGACTTTCCCCCGACCTCACCGCCAGCTCCAAGGCAAGGGCGGCGGCTCCTCAGGCACTACTGAGGCGGGGAAGCCGCACTCCAGCTGCCCCCGGCGAAACACAGCGCTGCTCCCGCACGCCCCGTGCCCT